GCTCAAAAATGACAGTACAAGGAGAGCTCCTACCCTCATCCCTCAAGATGGAGGTTCGAACCATAATGCGCAGAAGCGTCTGTAACCAATTTATGAGTACTGGTATCTGAGGAATTCTTTTTGTGGACAGGGTCTGCGGGTCAAGAGGTGAACACAGGTGAGCAATGGTATGATGCTGAGGAGGAGCTGGAGCTTCCAGAAGATGATGTAGCTACTGCTGTGAGACAGGACCCCACACCGGTGATGGCACATGTGTCTGATGGTGAGAGAGAGCAAACGGTGCATTAGGGCTGAACATTTGGAGAATTAAATTTCTAAGTAGCTGCAGTTGTTTTCATTCCAGAATCAGCCAGTCAGGAGGCCATGAGCTCCGTACTGTGTGTTTCCAAGCTGCCCAGCAATGTGACGGAGGTGAACATTTACTCATCAATGTTGTTTGAGTAGTCATTTAAAATTCATTGGTTTTTTTTTTCGCATTGGAAATTTTAATTGACAAGTTAAATTGTGTAATGATCCTTTTATGTAAAACCATTGTACTGCAGTGTGATTGCCAGCAGAGGGCAGTGTAGACTTTAATTGAAACTTTGTCCCTGTCAGAGTGACATGTTGCTGTTCTTTGAGAAATACCATCCCACTGAAGTCAGCATTTCTGCTTTAAAGGATTTGAGGTGAGGTCCTTTTTTCCCCACTATTCAGGCTTATGCTTGTTTTATTAAGTAGTCACACATTCAGGTCTTTATATCAATTCTTTCCTTAAGGAAAACATTATTATGGGCCCAGTTTCCCTGTGTTTTTGGCTTTAAATCGTGACTCCAATCCTGAGTATGAATGCTTTAACCGCATCAAAGTAAACCTGCATGTGTTTGGCTGATTCCAGGTGATCTGTGATATTATCCTGTCATATTTTGTGTGTACTTCTGTCAACACATTACTTTACCCTTGTGTCCACTCCACCTGCAGCAGGTCTGTTTACTCTTGGGCCACCAGTTTTCTTTAGGGAATTATGTTTTGCCATGTGGGATTTCTATTCTTGTTAGACTGGCTGTACTCACCCTGCTCCATGTAATCGCTGGAGTCACAGTGGTGTGCAAAGTGATACAGTAAATCATCTACCTGGTCAAAAGCAGATGTTAATGTATTGCTTGTAATGTAAAAGTCCAGTAGCAATGTCATGCTAGTGTTTATCCAACATTAAATGACACTGAGATTAGAATTAAGTCCTGGGCTGTAATTTTATACAAAACTGTAAAATGTTACATTTCTACACAATTCTAGAAGGTTTACTTTTTTATGTGTGGTTGTAGCAGCAAATTTTAATGCTTCACAAATCAGCACACGCATGCCAGTTTAACAACTCTCTATGTTCTGAAGATTTGCCATAGTTATGTTAAGTGGCCCCCAGTCTGCTGAGACTGCAGTGAAAGAGCTAAATGGATGCAGAATGCAAGGTCGCGTTTTACATTTGGAGCACATCAGCAGACCCACGAACAACAGCCAGAACTCGGCCTCTGAACCTGATTCCTCACAGGACGCTGCCAAACCACAAACCTCCAAGACTGACTCCAGCAGCACTGAGGTGAGCAGACGAGCATTAGGCGTCCTAAAACAATCAAACTTTAAGTGTGCATTCAGATCTTTGTTAGAAGCAGAACATACAGTCCCGATCAAAAGTTTAAGACCACTTGAAAAATGGGGG